CCTTCAGGACGAAGACCTGATTTGACGGCGAAGGGGAAAAATGAGTTGGTTGCTCTCTTTTCAAGAAAGAGTGGAGTGGAAAACAGAGGCGAGGTCAAGCAGCGTTTCACGTCAGCATACACCATTCCAAGCCAACGGATGTTTTCTAGATCAACGGTTTCCACACCGCATCGCACACAGCCACACCCAACTCGTCTGGACACTTGCGCAGGAAACTGCCAGTGAGATACGTCAATAAAGACCGTAAAACACAGTACAAGAGATCATTCGTGCATTCTCTCTTGTAGGTCCAGAATAAAGAAACGTAAGCTCGCCTGAGAACGAAACGCCCAGAGAGTCGACACTAGTAAAGTAAGTATACTTTGTACTTGCATTCTTGACGGAACAATACTTACCAAGAATTCTTGCGACCAGAACGTATACTTTGCAGAGAGAATGCCAAATTCTTAGTTCACCACTTTGTCAAAAGATAAAATAACAAGAGTGGATCCATCCCCTTCAGGACGAAGACCTGATTTGACGGCGAAGGGGAAAAAATGAGTCGGTTGCTCTCTTTTCAAGAAAGAGTGGAGTGGAAAACAGAGGCGAGGTCAAGCAGCATTGCACGTCCGCATACACCATTCCAAGCCAACGGATGTTTTCTAGATCAACGGTTTCCACACCGCATCACACACAGCCACACCCAACTCGTCTGGACACTTGCGCAGGAAACTGCCAGTGAGATACGTCAATAAAGACCGTAAAACACAGTACAAGAGATCATTCGTGCATTCTCTCTTGTAGGTCCAGAATAAAGAAACGTAAGCTCGCCTGAGAACGAAACGCCCAGAGAGTCGACACTAGTAAAGTAAGTATACTTTGTACTTGCATTCTTGACGGAACAATACTTACCAAGAATTCTTGCGACCAGAACGTATACTTTGCAGAGAGAATGCCAAATTCTTAGTTCACCACTTTGTCAAAAGATAAAATAACAAGAGTGGATCCATCCCCTTCAGGACGAAGACCTGATTTGACGGCGAAGGGGAAAAAATGAGTCGGTTGCTCTCTTTTCAAGAAAGAGTGGAGTGGAAAACAGAGGCGAGGTCAAGCAGCATTGCACGTCCGCATACACCATTCCAAGCCAACGGATGTTTTCTAGATCAACGGTTTCCACACCGCATCACACACAGCCACACCCAACTCGTCTGGACACTTGCGCAGGAAACTGCCAGTGAGATACGTCAATAAAGACCGTAAAACACAGTACAAGAGATCATTCGTGCATTCTCTCTTGTAGGTCCAGAATAAAGAAACGTAAGCTCGCCTGAGAACGAAACGCCCAGAGAGTCGACACTAGTAAAGTAAGTATACTTTGTACTTGCATTCTTGACGGAACAATACTTACCAAGAATTCTTGCGACCAGAACGTATACTTTGCAGAGAGAATGTCAAGTTCTTAGTTCACCACTTTGTCAAAAGATAAAATAACAAGAGTGGATCCATCCCCTTCAGGACGAAGACCTGATTTGACGGCGAAGGGGAAAAATGAGTTGGTTGCTCTCTTTTCAAGAAAGAGTGGAGTGGAAAACAGAGGCGAGGTCAAGCAGCGTTTCACGTCAGCATACACCATTCCAAGCCAACGGATGTTTTCTAGATCAACGGTTTCCACACCGCATCGCACACAGCCACACCCAACTCGTCTGGACACTTGCGCAGGAAACTGCCAGTGAGATACGTCAATAAAGACCGTAAAACACAGTACAAGAGATCATTCGTGCATTCTCTCTTGTAGGTCCAGAATAAAGAAACGTAAGCTCGCCTGAGAACGAAACGCCCAGAGAGTCGACACTAGTAAAGTAAGTATACTTTGTACTTGCATTCTTGACGGAACAATACTTACCAAGAATTCTTGCGACCAGAACGTATACTTTGCAGAGAGAATGCCAAATTCTTAGTTCACCACTTTGGTACATAGAGCAAGGTCTACATGTGAAGCGTCCCTCCTAAGAGGGATATCTAGTATAGAGATAGGTAGATATAAAGATAAATATAAAACTATAGATAAAATTATATAGAGTCGGAAATAAAGATATGCATAGTAAAACCTGTTGAAAAATAACACCATCATGATAAAGAAATCTTTTAATGATAAAGAAG